TGACTGTTGCAATTATCGGGGATATCACTGCTATCAACTTCATACAAAATTTAATCCAATATTCTTCTGTCAAGGTTAAGTCCATATATAGATGAAATTATTGGGATCATCAATGTGGGTTTTGATATAACAGACCAGCTATAGATCACATCTTTTGCATTCGTCAAATTGAAGAAAAAATGGAAGTACGATGAGACAGTACATCAGCTATTCATAGACTTAAAGAAAGCCTATGATTCAGTTAGGAGGGAAGTATTATACAATATTCTAATAGATTTTGGTATTCCCATGAAACTGGTTAGGTTGATTAAAATCTGTTTAAAGAAAACGTATATTAAAATCTGTGTAGGTAAACATTTGTCTGATAAATTTCCTATCCAGAATGGTCTAAAACAAGAAGATGCTTTATCGCGACTCCTTTTCAATTTTACTTTAGAATATGCCATTAACCCTTACCCTGCTGCGGTCGACATATGTCGATCTCTGAAAAACATGGCCGTCCTTGCTGTAATCGACAGAACTCATATTGCAAATTTTGAGTTTCAAATCTCAGGTTTCTTTGCACCAATCTCATTCAAACTTGGTGGGTGCACAGAGTCATCTGTTGGGAACGTAATGAAGCATCATTCATTTCAATGGCTGCATTCTTCTGCTGTCTAGCTTAGGAAATGTAAAAGATTGCATCTGCACAGTGAGTCACGTGCTCCGAGGTCATGTGGAGCGGGTATTTCACAGGGCTAGTAAGAATGGCTTTGTATAGTGCGCAGTGCTTTCCATAATAGTTTTAACTAAGTTGTGGACTTTGGTCAACATGTGACATAGTGATAAGACTAGGATAGTGAATTATGTACTTTTTGGCCGTCTTGGACAACCCTGATTTAAATGGATTTTTCCCCTGTGAAAAATACTGAATAATTTAATATTTTTGCAACTTATGATGCCTGTTCCCTGTCTGAGGTAAGATTAATTACATTTTATCACAAATTTTAATACTTTGCACTTAAATTATTTATAAAAGATTTATTAAAAAATAATTCAGCATAGAGGGTACTGAGAGTTACTTAGCATACTAGCAGTGAAAGGGTTAAGAAGGTCCAGGAAAACCAGGTGGGACTGAAGTTAAGCGGGCACATCAGCTGTTGGTCTATGCCAGTGATGTGAATCTACTGGGTGATAATGTAGATACAATAAAGAAAAACACACAAACTTTAATTGACACAAGTAAAGAGATTGGTCTAGAAGTAAACACACTAAGTATACAAACTAAGTATATGTTACTGTCTCATCACCAAAATGCAGGGCAAACTCAGGACATAAAGATAGGAAACAGATGTTTTGAAAATGTGGCACAGTTCAGATATTTAGGAACAACTATAAGAAATCAAAACCTGATTCAGGAGGAAATTAAGAGGAGATTGAACTTGTGTAATACTTGCTACAATACAGTCCGGAACCTTTTGTCTTCTCGTCTGCTGTCTAAAGACATAAAAATTGGAATATGCAAAACTGTAATTTTGCCTCTGGTTCTGTATGGGTGTGAAACTTGGTCTCTGACATTAAGGGAGGAACATAGGCCAAGGGTGTTTGAGAACAGGGTGTTGTGGAGAATATTTGGACCGAAGAAAGATGAAGTGACAGGCGGTTGGAGAAAACTGCATAATGAGGAGCTTCATAACTTGTACTCTTCTCCAAGTATAATTAGAATGATTAAGTGAAGGAGGATGATATGGGCAGGACATGTAGCACGGATGGGGGAGACAAGGAATGCATATAGGATATTGGTGGAAAAGCCAGAATGAAGGAGACCACTGGGAAGACCAAGGCGTAGGTGGGTGGTCAGTACTAAAATGGATCTTAGAGAGATAGGATGGGATAGTATGGATTGGATTGATCTAGCTCAGGATAGGGACCAGTGGAGGACTCTTGTGTACATGATAGTGAACATTCGGGTTCCATAACATGCTGGGAAATTCTAGAGTAGCTGCAGAATTGGTGGCTCAGCTCCATGAGTGAGTAAGTAAGTAAGTAAGTAAGTAAGTAAGTGAGGGTGATGGAGTGGAGTTATTGATGGACCTGAAGCATTCTCCCTAGGCATAACACTTATTCTGGTGAAAGAACACTCTTTAGTGTTTTTGAAGAGAGCTTGGATTTTGATCAGAGCTATCGTTCTTGTTGATGTATGTTACTAGGTGCTTCTGTGTGTTACTTCCATTTGTAGAGGGTACTCCTAGTCACCCTTATTGTCTGATATTGTTGGAGACAGACCATGCTGAAGAAAGTAAAGTGTGTTTTCTGTGAATGTAGTACCCTGTGGTTGTGATGTGTGACACACAACAGAGGGAAATTCTATGACACAGCCCATTTCCAACAGTATCACACCTTATGAAAGGGACATCAGTTTCAGTCTCTGTTATTTCTAGTGGCAGCTAATTGATATATGGAAGAATTCTGTTTTTCTTTTATTTATCCTGGAGATCAAAATACATTGATATAGAGTATGCTCGTCGAAGTTATACATTATAGAAATTACTTTAATGATAATATATGTTAACTTATTAGGAATATAACAATAGAAGCATTAAATTGATAGCACTAACTTATTAGAAATATAGCTTATTAGAAATTAAACAGTAAGAGTTTTAAGAAGAAGCATAATTATATTAAATTGTTTCTACATATCTGCTTATCAGTAGCCATTATTACAGAATTCCTCATTGATGCGGTCCTCAACTGAATAACAGCATCAGTTAATAACTTCCTCAGTTCCTTTTTAAACTGGATGTTGTTACCTATTTGCTTTATGTTGTTGGGCAATTTGTTGTAGAAGATGCAACCTGATGCTGATGGATTACTCTTATATAGCTCTAAATTATGGATTCATTCATTCATCAGTAATCTGTCAAGACGACAGGTCCACAGTCTCTTCCAAAACAGTTCCTCCACTTAATGCAATCTAGAGCTTTCTCCTTCAAATGAGAATATCCTCTTCTGTCCCCAAGGTCATCCAGCATCTTCTTACATCTTCTTGATTGATTGATTTATTTAACATCCATAACTGTTACATTATGTACAATTGGACAAGTCAGTTTTTAAAAAATATATGAGATTAAACATCACATCAAATGACTAATAATATAAAAAAACCGTAGAAAAATAACATAATAAGTCCTTTAAATATGATAAAACAGTGGATGAGTATAATAAGGCAACAAAAGCTAAACTATAAATTACATGCAATGGCTAAAATAAATTACCTAAGTATCTTTGTTCTATTATTAAGCTAATTCTTGTAAAAATATTCTTGAAGGGAATAAAAAGCTTTGCACAACAAGTAATCCTTTAATTGATGCTTAAAAACCTTGAACTCTTGAATACTTCTTATTTGAGAGGTCAAGTTATTATACAATCTTATTCCCATGTTAATCACACTCCTTTTACAACGTGAGGGGTTACATGGTTGGACATACAAATTCTGCTTATGTACTGTGTTATAACCGTGCACGTCTGAATATGAGATGTTATATATCCTATTTTTCCTTAAAAAACACAACGTCTCAAAGATATACAATGAAGTTAAGGTTAAAATTTTAAATTCACCAAAAAATTCTCTACACGATATCCTGTTATTGACTCTTTTGATCAGTCTTAAACATTTTTTTTGGATTTTAAATACAGTTTGAATGTCCTTTTGAACACAGCCCCAAAAAATAATACCATATCTCAATAAAGATTCAAATTTCGCAAAATACACACTTCTCAAAATTGGAAGACTGACCAAATCTTGTAAGGATTTGATAAGATAGATGGTTTTGTTTAATTTTTGAACTAAATGGTGAATGTGAGAGGACCAACTTAAATTCTCTGTAATATATATACCTAAAAATTTTAAATTAGCTGTGTATGTTATTTTCTTATTATTCAAATAAAGTTCCGGTTTATCAATTTGACGGAGACCACGTCCCTGAATAAAGAGTGCTTTTGTCTTTTCAATATTAATAATAAGATTATTTACCGCAAACCAATTTTCTAATTGATGCATAGAAACTACAGTTTTATCATTTAAAGATTTAAGATTTTTGTCAATAATTAGTATATCGGTGTCATCTGCAAATAAAACAACTTTCGCTTCATGAACAGCTTTAGGCAAATCGTTTATAAACATTAAAAACAAAAGAGGTCCCAGAACCGAACACTGAGGAACACCGTACTTTATTTCCTTACACGAAGAGGAGAATGATTTTTGATTTGGAGACTTGGCATCAACATGGTCAATTTCTACAAACTGGGATCTACCCGTAAGATATGATCTCATCAAAGAGAGTGAAATTCCTCTAAACCCATAAAGTTCCAATTTAGCCAACAGTAATTTGTGGTTTATCACATCGAAAGCCTTGGAAAGATCCAAAAATACCCAAAGCAAAACACTTATTGTCTAATGCTTTCTGAACATCCTCTTCCTCGTCTTCCGGTCACTTCTGTCCGCCCCTTTATCTTTCCTTCAGTAACTTCTTTTAGAAGGCAGTTACTGCGTAAGATACGTCCAATCCAATTATCCTTCCATTTTCTTATTTCTTGTAGGATATTCCTCTGCTCACTGACTCTAAATAGCACTTCTTCATTTCTCACATAATTGGTCCAACTGATCTTCTCCAACACCACATTTTTAGTTAAAATTTGAAAAAGAAAGAACAGAGATCTTATAGACATTTTAACTTGAATTAAGTTTTAAAAAGTGCTAATTTAAAAATCAAATCGACGCGTGTAGATTAACAAAGATTTTATACAATTAGAAAGACTGGTAATTTTAAATTTTAACAAGCAGTGTAACAGCTACGTGAGTGATACACACCTGATGATGGCCATTTAGGGCCGAAACATGTAGTGTGGAGGAGGAAAAGAAGTAAAAATTACAATAAAATTTGTTGCACTTAAGACGGTATTTATCCATATATATAATATACAAAGTTGAACAGTAGTGTTATATATTCATTTTATTTCAGGGATCTGGATAATTTGAAACATGTTCTATTCCTATGAACTGCTATGCCGCAAGCCAAATGGAAGATTCACAGTTATTTGGCTGTTGGCAAATTCTAGGAAGGTGGCTAGTAGAGAAATCATGAAGATTTCTATTCCTGATATTGTGTAAGTATTGTCATATTTTTGTTCTTATTCTGAATGACTGGGAAACTAAGAAGAGAAGGAGGTTTGTTAAGGAATCAACAAGCCTAGTTTCATTTTATTTTTGCCATATGTACTGGACACGAGAATTACGCCAGATTGTGAATGTTATACTAGAGTTAGCTCCACATTTCGTGAACTGTAATCAGATCATAAAATGCAGGGTTCACTGGGCAAGTTGGTGTAGCAGTAACAGGCCACCCTTATGTTTGGGATGGCCATGGTTCAGATTTCAGCCAGATTACCAGCTATCCCACCTAACCTTCTCCATCATTTATCTCAGTCCTTCCAGAAAATTGCTGGTATAGTTCCTGAATTAGGCCACATGCATTTCTTTCCAAGTCCTTTACATTTCATTGTTCACTGATCACCTGTCTGTCTGATGAGATGTAGTCAGAGACACTGACAGCATCATAAAAGTAACCCACAAGAAAAGCATAACCTTCAGACAAGAGCAGAAGGTTGTATTCCAGTTTTTAGTAATGTACACATATTTTTCAAAAGTGTTTCTTTCAGTCATGCATATCTCATTGGTCTTGGTATTCATTCACTTCAGATGTAAGTCTGTTGCTCACAGAGTAAGTTAACAGTATAAATGTTGTCTTTCCTCCATCTGCACAAGCTGGGGAATGGAGCTAGTTAAAATAAGGTTCATGGATTAGTGATGTGGAAGTGGGGCACTGTTCTGTTCACCATAAGAACATTTTGCAGTATGTCATATGGAATGATTAATTAGTTTATGTATTTATTTTTATACCATGGCTATTTTTTTATAATTCATATAACAAATCAGAACCAGCACAGACACTTAAGAATGGAAGTACAGAAAGATTAGTATTTCCCTCCCCCACAGAATGAATAGTATTGTCACAGCTTTAGACAGTCATATTTCACTCTCAGTCACACTTCCAAGAAAACACCACAAAACCAGCATATGCTACAGGGCCAGAGGTATGATAACCAGATTACTACTACCTAGTATAGAGCCTCTAACTTGTTGGCAAAGCCACTCAGAAGAGTACGAGTAGATACTGCACTGCACAGAAGCACAAANGGGGGGGGGGTGGGGGGTGCTTAACCAGGCCTGCACATGCCAACTCCTTCAATCTTAATATTGAGATACCTTTTTCTCACCTTGTGCTGCATTCTGGAAACTGCTCGAAGTTGTGATCAAGCACTCAGAAGAAATTTCTAGAAAGGTGACTCCATCCATAAAGTAGCTGTACAGCCTGTGTGAGAGTTCAGTTCATTTGAGCCCAGGTCAGAAGCAGTTGTGAAGTAGTGAATGCAGTCCTCTAGTAAGGTAGAAAGATAGTTAGAGTACTACATCATTTTCAGTTCTGTTTAGTGCCAACAGGAAAGAAAAGAGTGGAGTGACTGAGCAGTGGAGTTACTGTGAAACAATGGGTGTACAAAGAAATGACATTAAGACCATAAGTGGCTGCTAATGGTGAAACAGCAGTTCCTTCAAATAATGATAATACAGCTGGTGTCAAGTTACATCAAAGATGGATTCAGCATTGCAAGCTATTTTGGAGCAGTGAAATGAGTTCACATGCCAAGACAAAATTGTGGCTGCCAAATATCTCAGAAAGGACATAATGCTGGCCAAAAACTCAGAACAGGGCAAACAGTATCCAAGAAGAACTGAAAGGTGATATGATGAACCATATGCAAAGTAACTGTCATCAGGGCTGTCTAGAGTGAATTCAAAGAAGGAATATCAGCCACAACAGACAAACAGTTGAGGAACAACGTAGTTGTTGTTAACTGGCAGACCAAGAATCTACATGACAAGCTCAACAGAGAGTTACAGGTGACATGACAAGGTACAAAGGCAACTGGCCCTGCAGCCACACATCAGTAGTTTGAGATGCAGCTGGCAGCAGTGGCAGCACACATGAGACATGAAAGTGAAGAGAACACGGACCAGTACTGATGTTGTGAAGCCACCAAAGTTAGATCAATCTGGGCCCTGGACAGTGTTTCAGTGCCAGTTCAGTCCATGGCTGATCATAATGGTTGGGCAGCCTGGAAGAAGGTGGTTTCAACAAACATGTGGTCTCTCTCGCACACATTCATGACTCCCATCAAGCTTGAACCAAAGTTCGAGCTATGTATAGTCCATCTGAGTGATATCTCTTGAAGCTGACTTCCTCTAGGCAATTCGTCACCTCCAGGGAACCTTCCATCTGCACAGTCCCCACTTTCTCCCATTGGGTTGGTATCACCCTGTCACTGACTGGTGTCAGGAGGAATGATCTTGGTCGGGCTCCAAGATGCCAAATGACACCTCTGACTCTAGTAGTGGAAGCTTATGTTGCTTAAAATCCATCACTGTGTCATAGGCTTGCAGGTCATCCAATCGCCAGATGAATTCGTCTATGATATTTGTGACAAACATCAAGATTCTTAGCACATTCCATGGCAGAAACAGCTCCATCAGCTCTTCCCAAGATGCTGTCTGTAATATATGGCCTACTGGGCTTCATCGGGCTGTCCAGTGGTATCAGGGCTGGCAATAGCCCAAGATGCTCTGGTGTCCTTCGTTATGTGGCATGTCTTGTCCTCTAACAGTCAGTGATTAAGCTACCTGACTGGCCCCCTCTTCACGCTGGCCCTTACTCGTTTTCCGAGGTTTGGTAAGCCTCCTAGTCACGTCTCTGTCGACAGTCTCTTCTCAATTGCCAGCCTAAGGTTCGCCCACTCTAGTGGTGCTTGGTTGATGGCGACCGTGTTCTCTTTGAGTTACCTCCCCATCTTAACTGGTTTTCTGGCTTCCTTCTTTTTAGCTTGTATGTGTAGAGCGCGGTTAAGGGCTTCTTTGATGGACTTCTTGTCAGCCATGAGAAGGTGGTTTCACATTCTGGTCCTTCACTCTATCAATCAATGCATAGGCTGCTTACCTCTGGATTCAGGCCTCGGGCAACCAGGCAAGGACCCAATGTTCCAACTGTTCGATGCTGCTGCTCAGCTGGATCTTCGCTTTCAGTTGTACCTGTTAGACACCGCCAGCTTGTTGCCTCCATAATAGCCCTTTAATGCTCCCACGATAACCTTGTATGTCGCTCTGGTTGGGAGACTTGAGATGTCGGCATTTTACCCATGCATAATGGTGAGTGGATGGGTGGTCTCCTTTCGGACTGCCCACCTGTTACGATCAGCCACAGCCTCGAACCAGAGGTGAAATACCATCCAGGATGTGGATCCTTCAGACTTGAGTGGTTTAACCTCGACGGCAATAGTCCCTGCATTGCTGCTTCCTCCGTGTCTTGTTGGGCTCCCACTGCCGACAGCTGCGTCTTGCACTCCCAGTGGGTGGCTTCCAGGTCAAATCGAATCATTTCACCTTCAGCTCACTACCGAACTCCTGGCGGGTGGCTTCCAGGTTTCATCGAGCCATTTCACCTGCAGCTCACTATCAAACTCTGGCAGGTGGCTTCCAGGTCTCATCGAGCCGTTTCACCTGCAGCTCACAATTGAACTCCTGGCGGTGGCTTCCAGGTCTCATCGAGTTGTTTCACCTGCAGCTCACTATTGAACTCCTGGCGGGTGGCTTCCAGGTCTCGAGTCGTTTCACCTGCAGCTCACTCTCGGACTCCTGGCATAGTTTTTGAGTCTTCTATTTAACTGTTGCCACAGCACCATTCTACTCTGTCCAGCATGCTTGTTATTTGACTTCAAGAGAGTAAGTCATGCTGGACGATTTTTTCTGTTGCCTTGTATTTTTTGAGCTATATGACTTCGAGAGAATAAGTCATGCTGGATGATTTTTTATGTTACCTTGTATTTTTTGAGCTATATGACTTTGAGAGAATAAGTCATGCTGGATGATTTTTTATGTTACCTTGTATTTTTTGAGCTATATGACTTTGAGAGAATAAGAGTTCTGCTGGATGATTTTTTTTTTCTGTTACCTTGTATTTTTGAGCTATATGACTTCGAGAGAATAAGAGTCATGCTGGACAGTTTCTTCTGTTACCTTGTATTTTATAAGTGTTTATGTCCAGTTTTATTCCTCATCATTGGTGTAGTTTACCTCATGTTTCAGGAACGATGTTCAAGATTTCATTGTCAGAAAATATCCTGACCATCTGCCTGAAAGTTATGGCAATCGATTCTCCCTTTATCTCTCAACGAAACTGTGCTATGGTATTGTGCTTGCCCTTAGAATTCAACTCAGTATTTTCACAAGTAAGTACACAATATATGGTGTATTTCAGGTTTTGAAATTGGAAATGTGGTAATTCTATTTATAAATTTCTTTTTCTCTTTGTGCCCATTGGAGGAACATAATTGGTATTTAGCAGACCAGTGAGCCCTCAACTGGACACCATTCACTAACTCTCTAATCCACTGTATTTATACCAGTCCACATATCCTACTTCACTTTGTTGTGTGTTTTATCACAGCTGTCTCCTCTTGGTAACTAAATAGTTTGTGTCGAACATTACTACTTCTTTCTCCACTCTCTTTTGTGACATTTAGTGGCAGAAAAGAGCATGGAAATTTTGGGTTTGTCACTGCACCTTTTGGAAATGTCGAGGCAGAGACATGTCATGAAGTAGAGTTCATTGGAAGATTTATATGGCTGAATGTGAAACTGTGTCATACATAATATTTAACTGTTAATGTTCTGTATGGTTACGTATAGCAGCTCTTTGCTTTTAAAAACTCATAACTGTAAATAAATGTGATTAAATCACATAAACATTCATTGATGCTAGTGAGGAGGTTTGTCTAGAAGTAAATGCCGAGAAAACTTCTTCACCAGAATGCAGGGCAAAATCATGACAGATAGCTAACAGATTCTTCGAAAATTTGGCACAGTTCACCTATTTGGGAACAACAGTAAGAAATGAAAATTTGATTGGTAAGGAAATTAGGAGGAGATTGAATTCAAATAATGCTTTCTACCATTCAGTCCAGAATATTTTGTCTTTTCGTCTTCTGTCTAAAGCGTAAAAATTAAGTTAAACTATAATTTTGTCACTGGTTCTGTATGGGTGTGAAACTTGGATTCTGACCATAAGGGAGGAACATAGACTGAGGGTGTTTGAGAACTGGGGGCTGAGGAGAATATTTGGACAGAAGAGAGATGAAGTGACAGGAAGTTGGACAACACTGCATAATGAGGAGCTTCATAACTTGTACTCTTTGTCGAGTATAATTAGAAGGATCAAGTTAAGGAGAATGAGATGGGCAGGATGTGTAGCATGAATGGGACCAAAGAAGAATGCATGTAGAATATTGATGGGATATCCAGGAGGAAAGAGACCACTAGGAAGGCCAGGATGTAGGTAGATGGATAATATTAAACTTTAAGAGCCGAAGGACACCATATGGGGACCTTTAAAGTAAAGCTGAGGTGGCCGAAAGACACCGTATGGGTATGCGCAGTCCACGCGCGCGCACAGTGTTTTAAAATCTAATTTTAAGATAGAAATTCTTGTTCTACTTACATTATTTTTGGACACCAGCTTTATAAGTAGACTGTCTTCCCTCCTGCATCATCTAACTGAATGTTGCATGTCACTGAATGCAGAGTCCGACGTCGCAATTCATGCACTTTGTCCGTAATTTACTCTGTTTTCCACGCGAAGCACGCACACGCAATGTTAGTCTCGTATTAGCAGGAAGTAAGCCAGTGATGTCAAGTGGTGTTCTCTATTCATAACGCTTATAAAACATCGCAATTTCAACTATGCACCATGGCCCCTTTTCGCATTGATAGGAGTCGAAATTCAGAGGCCGCTAGTAAATCACACCATTCAGAATGCGTTACAGTTTATTTTGAAGGGATGTGGAAGCAAGTGGTATGAGGTGATATTCCAAGAACTGCCTCTGTGTGTGGATAGTCCGACATACGTGAATAAACAAAGAGAGTTTCATAAGGCAATGTAGGATAAGAACTCGCCCACACTGGGGTATACAGGAGCCTAGGTGACTGGAGAATGTGCAGACCGTAAACACACTCTCCTATTGCCAGATAACCACACAGACAGTGGGTCAGCACTATGCATTTATACTGCAGAAACGTATTGTGCAGAAGCTGTATGCATTTTTGTGGACAGACGCTCAAAATCGGGGAAAAATTTTTTTGGAATCAATGTAAATTTTTACAGATTCTAAAACCTGTAAATTAGAGTATCTGATTCTATATACTTTCTAGATAAAAGTAGCGTTTATTTCGTTTGTTTATCACAAAAGTTTAGAAATCACAGCATTTTGAGTAACATGATTACAATTTTTATTACTCTACAGTGGCGGGCATTTAAATTAACTCCGTCCTGCTGCCACTACCGGAATTTAAATGGCCCGTTCCCTAAAGGTTAAAATGGATCTTAGAGAGAATGGGTTGGTATGGGCTGGATTGATTTGGGTCAGGATAGGAACCAGTTGAGGGTTCCTGTGAACATGGTTTTGAACCTTCATGTTCCATAAAATGTATATTCTAATTTTTATCTTTTTGGACAGAAGACAAGAAGACTGAATGGTAGCAAGCATTACCCGAGTTCAGTTTTCCCCTTAATTTCCTCCTGAATCAGGTTTCCTTTTGTTATCATTGTTCCCAAATATCTGAACTGTGCCAAATTTGAAAACATCTATTTCCTACCTCTATGTCATGATTTTGCCCTGCATTCTGGTGACAAGGCAGCAACATATACTTAGTTTTCTCTGTGTTCACTTCTATACCAACCTCCTTACTTGCGTCAATTAAAGTTTCTGTGTTTTTTCCTTTATGATATCTATACTATCACCTAGTAGATTCATATCATCCGCATAGACCAACATCTGATGTGTCCCTTTTAATTTCAGTCCCACCTGGTTTTCCTGGACCTTCCTAATGGCATATTCTAAAGCAAAGTTGAAAAGGAGTGGCAATAAGCATCTCCTTGTTTTAGACCATTCTGGATAGGAAATTTATCAGACAAATGTTTACCTACATGGACTTTAATATATGTTTTGCTTAAACACATTTTAATCAGCTTAACTAGTTTCATGGGAATCCCAAACTCCATCAGAATACTGTACAATACTTCCCCCCTAACTGAATCATAGGCTTTCTTGAAGTCTGCCAATAGCTGATGTACTGTCCCATTGTACTCCCATTTTTTCTCCACTATCTGATGAATACAAAAGATCTGATCTGTAGTTGATCTGTTATGTCGATGATCCACAATAATTTCATCGATATATGGACTTAACCTTGAGAGAAGAATATTGCATAAAATTTTGTATGAAGTTGATAAAAGTGATATCCCCTGATAATTACTACAGTCAGTTTTATCACCCGTCTTGTTAACTGGTACAGTAATAGACTCCTTCCACTGATCAGGCAATTTTTCCTTATGCCAAATAGAAGTAATTAGCTTATGGATCTTAGAACGTAATATTTCGCGTCCTGCTTGAACAAGTTCTGCCAGAATTTGATCACTATTCTCAGACTATATTTCATATTTTTTAAAGTTAGCACAGGATCGAGGTAAATGGTTAGCTTTATTGTCCACCTTTACTCAAGGAAAGAGACCACACTACCTTCGGAAAGAACATTGTATAGGCTGTTGTGATTGATTTGGTGGAAGGGAGATCCTAGGAGCATTCCCAAATAACAACCTCTGTCCACTGATCTCCTAGGCAGTCACTTTGGTGACCCTTCATCACAATCTTATATGTTGGGTTCTCACTGTGTAACTTTAACACAGTGCAGTTTCTCAGTATTCAGATGTTTTTAGCACCAGCAGAATATGTGAAAATCTAGGAGGTGTTTTTAGGAAATATCAGCTTTAAATCTCAGTCCAGAGAGCAGCTATCTTCACTGCACTTTTTCATGGGGGTTTCAGATCCTCTGGATACGTGACAGAATCACACCTCAAATTAGAGCATAACGGCTTCTTCCATGTGTTTCACGTATCTTTATCAGTCACTGTTATGTAAACTGGGCAATTTAAAGCATCTCAAAGTAATACAAAGCAAATAAATAGTTTTAATTGTAATTACATTGTATCTTCTTCTAGATGAACTCAGCATGTTATCGCTATACATGACACCCAGGGACTCTGAAGGGTAAGTGAAATGCCTCACTGTCAGATACCCCCTTGAGCATCCCTCGCATTATCATATGAAATACAGGGTTTGTCCAAAAAGTAATGTCAGTGAGTCGATTAAAGAACTTTTATGGATTAGATCGGTGCAACACATTAAAAGGCTTCAAAATAGGCTTCTTCTGCGTCGATACATCGATTCCAGCGAGATTTCTAGGCATCGAAGGCGTCATGGCAGGCGTCCTCCGGAATGTCCTTCAGAGCCTTGGTGCAAGCCTCTTTGACTTCGTCAACTGTCCCAAAATGATGTCCTTTCATGGGAGTTTTCAAGCGCGGAAACAAAAAGAAGTCTGGGGAGCCACGTCAGGACTGTAGGGCGGCTGGGGAACCGTTGGCACCTTTGAATCGGTCAGGAAGCGGGTCACGAGGAAGGCGGTGTCGGCTGGCGCATTGTCATGGTGAAGTTTCCAATCGTCCGCGATGTCGGGCCGGATGCGATAAACCCTTCTTTTGGGTCTCTTTAGCACTTCCACGTAGAATTTGGCGTTGATGGTTGTACCATGTAGTACAAACTCACATTTTCGTCGGTGGTGCTTGTTGATGGCCGTCCAGCGCGGGCTTCATCGCCGACCTATTCACGGCCTTCTAAAAAGGCCTTGTGCCACCGGTAGACCTGACATTCCGACAAACAATCGTCACCGAAGGCCGTCTTTATCATGGGAAAAGTTTCCACTGCAGACTTGCCAAGTTTCACACAAAACTTGATGGCAATCCTTTGTTCCAAGGAGCGCTGCATTGCGGCTTGCACGGGAGACAAAAACGAGTTTCACGGAAAAGCCTTTCGTCACTCTCAGGAAGTTCGGAGACGACTAAGCGACCGCGGGTTCATAAGCTGACTTCCCCCTCCACCGAGCCCAACCGGTCTGAGAGTGCTGCGACGTATAGTCACTTCACAATAAAATAACTGACATTACTTTTCGGACAAACCCTGTAAATTAAAGCTCTGGACATCATGATTGGATTCAAGCATGATGTCCCAAGGCATAGATGGGATCAGGTCTCTATACCAAGGAGCTTGTAGGTTCATAGGCCAATACATGTTAGCTTTATAATGTGGAACCTTCTTTAAAATACGTTATAGACCCTGTGTAGATGACAAAGCTCTACTGAGGCCAGAGAAGAAGTCCTGTGAAACCACCCACATGGCCATCAGACTGTTGTACCTCTACAGCATACTGCCCTGTATTCTCTTCCAGCTGTCTGACGTCTGTGTTCACAGCAGTAACCTTTGCTAGCAACAAGAATTTTAGGCTGGTTGGCAGGAGAAACGGGGGCTTGAAGAGAGAGAGAGAAGCCTCAGGGGCTGTCATCCCCACCAGCCGTGATACTTCTTATGCAGCCTCAGTGCAGAGAAATGACAAGTTTGCAGCACTCCACTAATAAGTCCCTTGTCTGCTTTTAATGGTGCTGGTTTGTGATAAGTTGCTAGTAGCAGTTACAAGAATGTATTTGTGAACAAAGATTCACTTAGATGACTAGCTTGTTCATCATATCCACTTCAAAATCCTTCTCTTGGGAGTTTTATCATCAAGCCTTCTGATTATGAAATTGTTTAAACCATTTCAGAAACTTATCTTTCCTGGTTCAAATTATTCTAAATTGCCTGAACATTAAATCAGTTTCTTTTGATCTCCATTTTTATCCCTGGAAACAAGAAATTGTAGGGAACGAGGCTGGGAGAGTAGGAGGAATGGGATGCTGTAGCTGTTTTGTTCCGGGTCATGAACCACTGGAGAGGCAGGCACAGTGTTATAATGAAGGAACCAGTCTCCATTTCATCATTTCTCAGTGTTTTGAGCACACATTTCCCATAGCATGGCACGTCTATATAATGCACTGTTTGAGAGTTTGTTCTGGGAAATTAAATCATGATCCTCATGACTGTTGCAGCAGAAAGCATCATCAACATGCTCCTGACATTTTATCATCCTTCAGTGTGGCGACCTTGGAAATTTCCGTTATAATGAATATCTTCATAACATTTAACATATTTCTGAAGCTTTTTATTAAGCCCGACAAAAACGATTTGATGTAAACTAAATACCTTGTTCTCTTGAAGCTGTCATATCAAGTGATCCGAAAAGACTTTACTTGTTTTCACTAAACAGATTCCCAGAGAAGAGCATACACAAAGAAAACTGCTCAGAGAAGTATATTTTATCACTACCTAGATGGAAAAGTTACACTGGTAGCATTCACATAGTTTTGGCTACCACCTCATGTTATAGCCATTGTCTTAAATGTTAGTAGCAGTCCTGAGAGTTGAAGTCTGTAAGGAGCTGTAGAGTGGTGTGATAGCCTTTGATAAAGGTGCCATAGTAGACCCTCAGTTGTGGATTTAATGTAGGAGTTTAATTATTATATTCATTTGAAAATATGTAATATGTCAGTTTATACTGCTGGACAGGTGGAAGTTTTGTAAATACAGTAAAATCTCTGCAATTTGCAGTATGTGAGTTCTGTATGTGGAGGTTGGTTCCTAAGTGTACAGATGCACAGCATTTGTGCAGCAAAGAGAAATAAATACTGATTAAGGCTACAGCTGACAAGAGAGTTCAAAATAAGACTTGAAGAATTGCTTAATTTAAGAAAGATTTATTTTCTTATGAGCTTGTTACGCCATGGGTAAGAGTGATTGCATATGGGTAATGCTAATTACATAATCATAAACTTTACAGGTCTAGGCGAGGAAGACATGATGTGAGGGCAGGACCTGATGGAGAACCACACATTAAAAGTAATTATTTCAAATTTGTATTATTTCACTGAGCGATAGAAATAGAAAAATGCCTGTTTTGAGGTCATACTCCCAGTTTCAAGTTATGAAAATTATGGAATTTACTACCATGCCTGTAATGTGACAAAGAAACTGAAATGATGGCTTCAGAAATGTTTGGTAAGACTTCAGGAAGAGGGGATACAACCAGTGCCATTCGTTTGGCTTGTGTTGGGTATTTATATAAACACAAATGGAGAACTGACATGAGGGATTGTGAGGGTTTATTCTCCAAGGGCTAGTGGCACAATATATGAGACACTGATGGTGACATCAGTGAAATATGCTGTGAATCGAACTGTGATTGATGCCCCTCCCAATGTGTAAATGGAGTTAGCCTCATTTTATGATGTGTGCTAGGGCACATAGGGCTCACTGACAATGAAGCCACCCAGTATGCTGCAGTCTGTTGCACTCTTGACGTGAATGCTTTGTGCTCTGATTTTAAGATTATTTTATACTGAGACACCTTAGTTGTCTGAGAGCTGTCCAGCTATGGTGATGACTGAAGTGACTCAAGAACATATGAGAATTGCACCTATAAAAAATAGTGAAAATTCTTGACAAATCAGTCACAGCTGAGAAACACCACAGCAGACTTCTGTAAATGTACTGTGAATTGCAAATTAGTTCAGGGCAGGCAGAGAAAAGACTCAAGAATAGGACAATCCATTGATGTCACATTCAGTAATGAGTGGACAGAAAACCTACAGCAAGATCATCAGTAGGATTTGAGGTTCTCACAGTTGTAGTTATGAAGAATTCTTTCTTTTAGGAAGTAGTTCCATGTAGTACATTAAAAGTCAGTGTTTCAGAGGAACATGACGCCTCCATCTTCAGGGTTGAAAAATAAGCCAGTCAAGAAACCAGCAGGTTGCAAACTGTCACTTACCAGATACTGGCTTTAAGACAGTATGCAATATTAATGAGGGTTGTGTTTATGAGTCTGATGTGTGAACATCACAGCATCTTTCACAGCTTACCCATGTTTTATATTTTAAGTGTTAGTGACTTTTAAATCTCAGTTGCCTATAAACCAAACACTATGCATGTGTAAGTTTTAGATTTTCAAGGTCAAATCAAGGGAAATATCCTTGATTTGGATATCCATTGTCCACTTTCAAACTTTGTGAATTTTCAGGTAACAGCTTTTGCATTGTGTGTCAGGGTCTGAGGTCAAAGCAGTTAGTGTCATATTTGCACAAATAGAAGATGAGTTTTCCAATCCCTTCCTTTTAAGAATTTTGAAACTACCACCTGTCATGAACATGAGTGTGTGACCAGCAAGAGAATACAGTCTCCTGAGGCGAATATCTGAAAGTGGAAACAATGAGCAGGAACTTATGCGAGTTATGTTGGACAGTTGCCATTTGTAGAGGTTCAGAAACAATGGAATGTCAGTTTCATGTAGCACTGTTAGTCATCAAGAGGCTAAAGTGAAGTCCAGTTCACTGTGGTATACAAATGACTTGGAAGAACAGGATTTCTATACTGCAGAGTTTTTCATTTTTCAAGAAGTTTCCATCACATGCAGAGGTAATGTTAATGAAATGACAGTGTATTTCAATATGCCATCAGTAACACAGGTACAAAATCTGTTGTCACAAACATCAGGCAATGACATAGTTTCAGATAGCATGTAACTACTGTCATATCTGGCAGTGAACCGAAGAGCTCTGCCTAAAGTGCAGCTGCCTGTGCACCTAGTAATGAGATATCGGACTCAGAAGTTGATGACTAAGGGAACTGATGGCAGACTGGTTGTAAGTTGGCTGGAACAGGAGACCCAGAGTACTGTTGAGAAAACAAGGAGTTATCGTGCCTGACGCTTTTAAGATCATTTAACAGTGGAGATGGATCTGTGTTCATGCAATGAATATTGACCTTGTGGTTATACCTGGAGTGTAGACTTCATCACTACACCTAGGGAATAAGCTTTCAAGGATCATTTTAAACAATTATATTCTGAATGACTTGTGGCAGGGGACCATGTTCTGACACCATCAGAAAAATAAAGAGGCCCAGTACAGAACTGCTGAGCCAGTGGATCAAGACCATGGACACAAATCTCCATAAGTGAGAGCCAAAGGACATGAAAAAGTGCTCTGTATTTTATGGAATGGACTGAAGAATTTGGGAACATTGGCACTGAGCATGGGAGAGTGAGCAGTGAATGAGAGACAGAAGATGGGAACTGAAGACACAGGCTGAAACTGATGATAGGAATGGTGATCACAGCGAAACTGAATAAAGGCTAGTGACTTCAGGAAGGAAACTAGCTCAACAAATGTCACGTATAACATATTTTCTAATATTTATTGCCTTTCATGTGTTTGTAGTAAGAGCATGAAATTAATTAATAAAATTACATTTTCTCTGCAGACATGTTTCCTAATGACAGGTCATGCTGCATTCATGATAATCTTTCATTTGAGAGTATCAGTAGCATACTGAAATTGTGGATATATTATAGATTACTACTGTACTAAGATTTGTCTGCTACTCAAAATTTTTATTCTCTTCTCAATTTGCGAAATTTTTCCAGCTCTCAAACTGTAAATGTCATTCTTGCACATGCATTGTAAATACTGTTTCCAACTCCTTAAACCCATGTTTTTGGGCCCGTGTTTCTGCATGGGCAGTTGTGTGCCATTAGTTCTGACCTAACATACTTAAATATGTGATTATATTTGGTGTTTTCTTTTTAAATTCCTTGCTGCAGCCAAAAAATTTGTTTTCTGCCAACAAAATCAAATTTTAGGTATTCCGAGTCTGCCATTAACATAATCATCCCCTGGCTTTTTAATTTATGGTTTGCTAATGACATGCTGATTTATAATCACAGTGAAAGGTTAGATGTACCTGATGCAACTCTTTGTAGGTAGTATTATCCATTCGGGTATTTTAATATGACTGCAAGGCCATGAAGTATATCATTTGAAAGAGATAACAAGATGTTAATGCAAATTACCTTTTTCCTGATAACTTGTTTACCCCAGTGCCCATGCACCATTCCATGAAATAGTCAGGGAGCGGCAGTGTAAGCTTGTAGATGGAAGGGAGTTGTCTGGCTTAGCACTGGAGAAGTATCTGCAGAGGTGTTTCAGGCATGGATGTGAAGAACAAATTTTCACTAACTTTACTGAGACCTGGCATGGTTCCACTCACATCAGTCACTATTTCCCACCTACCATGAAAACTTCATAAACTAGCTGCTAACTTAACAGATTTGAAAGAAATGCATGCAAATGAAATATTTTCCTTAAGCATCAAAATGACCGACAGAATTCCATGGCATTGCAATGATATGTGTTGACAGCTTCCAGTTACCCCTGTGCACCCTGATTTTGCTCAGGCTAAAGGAAATACCCTCCAGACTTGAGGCCCTCATAATATCCATCTACCCATATGTACCTATGAATGTATAAGGGGTGGGCCTTCTCGGCCCTTGCACCGCGACCTACAGTGTTCTATTGTGATTCCATATGTACCTAAGTAAGCCAAAGGTCATGGATTCATGCCCAATCAAGTTATACTCTTACATAATATCATCTCATCTGCCACTGACAGGAGGATATCCCAGACACCCTCTGTCATGTAGAGGGTCTCTGAGTGGCTGCTGTAGATAATCCTATCATTCCCACAGAGTCCTGCATTTGGGGGAAAGGCTAGATTACAATGGGATGTTGATTCCATTGCTTTAGAAATTGGTTAGTTGACCAATTACAAATAAGAGCTAACAGATTTTTCTTATAATTTTATTGTATGCTCTTTCATTTATATTAACTTTTTTGTGCACAAAATATCTGTGCTGAATGATCAGAGGTATAGACTTAAAGGGATGAAGAATGGGAGATGAAGAATATGCGTGGTGCAATCCAAAAGTTCCCAAAATATATTAATAAAAACTATTACATCTTACCTAGATCTTATTCTGCACCATCACTTTCAAAGTAGTCCCCTTGGGAGCGCATACACTGATCCCAGCGTTTCTGCCACTTTTCAAATGCATCCTGGAAGTCTTTCTTTGTTAGGGTGTTTAGTACCATCTGCGTTTCTGCTTGAATTTCCTCAACTGTATCAAATCTTCACCCCTTCAACTTGATCTTCATTTTGGGGAAGAGAAAGAAGTCGCATGGAGCTAAGTCTGGCGAGTACAGTGGGTGGGGAACAACTGCCATCTTGTTTTTAGCCGAAAATTCCTGCACAATGTAAGCCGTATGCGGTCGTGCGTTGTCGTGGTGGAGTACCCAGTAGTTCGTGCGCCACTTCTCTGGACGTTTTCTCCTCATGTTCCCCCTCAAACGCCTTAAAACATTGCAATAGAACTCTTTATTGACTGTCTGACCAGGAAGGACGAACTCCTTATGAACAATCCTGTCAGTATCAAAAAAACAGATCAACATTGACTTAATGTTGCTCTTGACTTGTCGAGCTTTTTTGGCCGAGGTGAATAAGGGCTCTTACATTGCGACGATTGCTGCTTACTTTCAGGGCCGTAGCCATAAACCCAACTTTCGTCACCAGTGACAACCTTCGAAAGAAAGTTTGGATCCTCTTGAAGCTGTTGCTGAAGTTCCCTGCAGACTTCCAAGCGATGCTGCTTCTGTTCGTTTTGCAGCAGTTGTGGCACAAACTTCGCCGCAGTCCTCCTCATGTTCAGTTCCTCTGACAAAATTCGTTGACATGTACCATAACTTAGTCCCAAGGTGTTACAGAGGTCTTGGAGGGTCAGTCTACAATCTTGCAGAATCAGATCCCTAACTTTCGCGACATTTTCTGGTGTGGTGCCAGTTGACGGCCGTCCCAAACGATCGTCATCATCAGTCAATGTTTGGCCATTTTTAAAATGCTTATACCAGTTGTATGTTTGTGTCTGGCCTAAACTGTTTTCACCAGAAGCTTGCTTCAACATTTGGTGCGTTTCTGCAGCGGTTTTCCCAAGTTTGAAACAAAACTTTATACAGACACGCTGCTCTCTCAGGGCAGCCATCGCAAAACCGCAAACTCACGGAAACACAACAATGGAAATACGGTCATCAACAATAAACCCAATCACTCAACTCGACGCCGCTTGCCACACTGATTCAAGAAGGATGTGTGAGGAGACACCTAGCGGTATTTCAATGTACTCATAACGATTCACACGCAAAATTCAAATTTCGGAAACTTTTGGATTGCCCCACGTACATGTGTGAGGTTGATTGCCTCAAGGTTACAGTCCTTCGATACTGGTAACAGTGTTTACAGAAATGAAACCTGCAAATTCTGTAAATTAGAAAGCTCACAGACACGTTCATATTTGTTCCTCTGTTGCAGGTATGAATATCTGATACATGAGTTTAGGTTCTCATGGCAGTGAATATTGGTATTACGCAGATACGCAAAGTTTCGTGATAAAATTGGTAAAGAAATGATGTGTGTAGGTGGCTGGTTTCATAATTACAGATAGTACTTTTTTATGTACAAATAACAGGACAAAGAATGCCTGAGCCACCTAGCCAAGTGGAAATTGACCCAGCTACTGCAAATGCAGTTTTGGAGGATCTTGGCATTGATCTTCTGGACCACTTGGAGGTGAATGGTGCTGCTGTGAGAGTTCCAGAAGAGCGTATCACACTGAGGGATGAAGTGGAACCTGATCAACTACTTAGGATGGAGAGTCAGGTGAGTGAAGTGCTGTAGTGGTCATAGGTTTGGTGAAATCTGTTTCAGTCTTTAGATACTGGTATTGCTTCAGGCTATGTATTTATTATGTCTTTGAACACCTAAAACAGAAGAATATGAGGTGCAACCCAATAGTTTCTTGAACTGACAATGTGGGCTACATGAGAATGTTGGAAGTTTATCAGCCATGCAAACGTTTCTGTGGTTCATTGTTGGCTTAGCTGCAAGAGGTTAATTTTTTTTCTCCTGTAATCATGTTTGTTAAATTTTGTTAGCAAATTTATTGTAAAAAGTAGATGGGAACATTTTGGTGCAAAGAATTTGTCTTCAGTTTTGTGAAAGACTTATAAATCACAGAATACTGCTAGATGTTAAAATTAGCCTCTAATGAGGTTATGTAAAGAACACAAGTTTTCAATTATTTGTGAGGTTTGAAGAAAGGAAGAAACATTATGAATATGGAAACCAAAATATTTTGTAAACCATTAGAGCACTGGCCAAGGAACAATTGATTCAAACTGATAGAAATAATTGTGAGAGGACTGTTGGGAACTGTAACCAGTTTCCTAAACACAAAGAAAGTTTGTCTGGAAAGTGGTTCTGAAAAGTGTGATAAACCTTAGGCAAAATGGAACTTCTTCCATCCTTCTTCAAGAGTTCAGAATGACAAAAATTTCACATATGGAAACCTGACTCAAAAGTGTGTACCATGTCATAATCAGATATACAGTACTTCTTTTTGATTTGTCACTGAGCTTTCATTAAATTGTTCATTCCTAATTTGTTACTGACTGCCAGATGATGACATAGATGTTTTATCTGTAAGTGCCTAAGCATCTCTGAGAGAGACTTTGCAGAAAAGGACCATTTGACCACCCTGAAACACTCTTTGCCAAAAATATTATTTCATTGCACATCAGGAAAGTAGTTTTTATACAAGTTTCACACTGCTAAGTGAGAAAAGTCCCTTATTTTCCAACAATTTCTTCCTGTTACTTAAACTCTAAAACTGTTGAAATTGATCACATTTTGGGTCAGCTTCAAGTATAACATAATAATAGCACTAAATAATCTCAAAAAGTATTTCGAATCTACTTTACCTAAGGGCATTTCAACAGCCTATTTCATGAAATTTTCAAATCTGGCCTCTTTTTCCTACTTCTTGGATCATATCAAAGAATCTCTAATTCTGAGGAAGTGATGTATAATTCATAACAAATATTCTTTTAGGGTGAGGTATCATTAACCCTATGCACGAGCAGTACAGTGGAGACCATCCATTGTTAGCTGCTCATGACTGCTTAATGCATTCACAGATGCCCACCGTATGTGTTCATTTCAGCATGATCTCTCATACTGTAGTATCAGGGGGCTCACTTAACATAGCCTGTGAAAGTGATATTTAATTTTCATGGATGATTGCAGCTTCTGAATTCTTTTTCTTAATATATTTTGGATTAGGCCATCTGGTCTATTTGAGTTCAGAATTAACTTCTGAAACTATGAATACTTTTTGACATTTGATAGGACCCCTTAGATATAATCAGACCATCACAAGGCCTCTGCCAATGCAAGACAGTATAGACGTAGAAGAAATGTGGACATACACCAACGAATCAAGTGGAATTTGAACCAAATTCCCAGTGTTGGAGTGGCTTGAGACAAAATGTGGCCACTGTGATTGCCAGCCTCTGATTTATTTTTTAAAATATCATCAGACGTGTTTTTTGTTGTTATTGTCACCTTTTTCTTCCCATTTTAGAAATATTTATGCATGTACTGTCCTCAAAATCTTCATTTCACCACATTCTTGGTCTTTTGATGACTCTTTTTCTTATTTATTTGTAATTCCGTGAGAAATTCAGCCATATGTGTGGACATTAGTGAAGGTAAAATGTTAAGACATACCTGATGTCAGAATTCAGGTCATCTTGCTTCTTACAAGTCGGGAAACATTCATCTTAATAGAGTACTATCTTCTTGGGTGTAATGCTATGTTGTTTGGTAGTTCACTGATGTTGTGGAAGAATATACTGCCGTCATATACGGGACTGAAGAGTACTGGTAAGCCAAGCAAGCAGCCATTAAGAAGCATTCTCTTGAACCCCAAAGATGGAGGAAATATGTTCCTGAAAATGTTAGTGAAGTTCTGCCAGACTACATGATGTTATATCCCAGCCACCACTGTGAGAACCTCATCTTAAAGCTAATTCACATTAGGCATCTTGCACACAGCACTGTTCATTATAGACTGGATTCATTTGGTTGTCAGAAGAGTGTCAGCATTTTTCAACAGTTTAAGTTAGTTATTTGTTTGTTTTATACTGCCTCCTCAGTGTTAATTATTATACTTGTATATTAACATGGAAGAATCTTGACAGCAGAAGGTCCTTCAAGTAAAAACCTTCATGGAAGGTGTTGGTAATCTTGGATACTTAAAGCATTCATTTTTAAGTTATATCAGACTTGAACCCTGAGGAATTTATTGTAATGAAATGAATTGTCAGTGGTACGATAGGTTTCATAAGTTTGAAAAATCATAATGAACCCTTGAATTAGATATCAGAGGAGTGGTATTTAAATTGGAATTTTGAAGGTGTGATGCTGTATTTTTTTCTTGTTGGTAGGGTTTTGGTGAAATATCTGCAGCTGATTTAGAGAGATATGTGCAGCCACAGGATAGGTAAGTATTTTTGTAGTATATGTGTATCACAAGAAATAGACCTTGGACAAAAGGAGGATCAATTATGAAACAGCAGCTGCAGCTTGAACAGTTTTCAGCATGCTCCATTCTCATAATCAGCATCTTGTCTCAATAAAACAACTTTTCATTAACCCCTTGTGAAAACTTCTTTCAATGGCCCCCTGTCTCCCTTTGCAGCTACAGTTCAGTGTCCCTGCTCTTATAGTGTTACCTTCTTTTTTAGATCATCTTTGATGCATGTTCATAAATAGAATGCATTCTTTGGTCAGTGATAAACCACAGAATAGCATAAGGTTGTCATATGTTAACACAATGAAATACTAGTACAGTCTAAGGATGAATTTCAAAACGTTTCAGACTTAGCACGGCTGTTTGGACAGAATGATGGACGGTGTCTTGGGGTGATATTTGTCGAAAATGTGTTAATTTCGATATACCTCATACAGTTCAGTGAGAAATGGAATCTTCCAAAATTCCTGCAATTGTTACATATTTTGGTAACTTTGATATGAAATTAGATAGTTGAATATCCTGCACTATTTGATAACTGCAGTTTATAAATATAATTAAATAGATTGCACTATTTTATTGGCTTGCCTATATAATTTCCATGTGGTCTCATATCCCTTTCCGCTCCCTGTTCTTATTGTTGGAAAATGGACAGTTTACATATTTTTCTGAATGATGTAATGGGAAAAGCATACCAACTTGTAAACCTTTGTGTGTACACTGAGTTCTGGAGATACAAACCCCATGTAAATGTGCAGATATTTTCAGCATTCATATTGTTTCTCTTGCTTGCTTTGTTTCTCAGGAGACTAAACCATGACATTCTCTACACTTGATTTTAACAGAAGCATCTTCATCATTAAACTTGTATTAATCTTCGAATGACAAGCCATCCACTGTAAAGGAGTTTAATGTGAATAGTTCAATTACAAAGATTTTTATGGCCTTACATGTTTTGACCCTTTGGGATCATCTTCAGAGGCTCAACAAAAAAGGAACTTGCTTTACGGTTGCTAAGGAGCTTTGTACATAATGAATAAGCAGTCGCAAAACGGCCAGCAAAGGTTGGTCCTCCCTCTTGGGGGTTGTGCGTGTGGCCAACAACTCCTCACCGTAAAAAAGCAGCTTGTTACAAAAATTTGCAAGAAGCCTCAAATCTGGACCGATGCTAAACAACCAAACTGAAATAAAATGGATATGAAATTTGGTACTAGGAAAGTTAGAAGTATGTATGGGGCAGGTTTGCTCAGGGCAGCGGCAGAAGAAATCTCAAAATATAAGTTAGATTTAGTGGGAGTACAGGAGGTCAGAAGGGATGGAGGTGGCACCAAACCAGCAGGCAAATATACATTTTCTATGGAAAGGTTAATGAAAATCATGAATTAGGGACAGGTTTTTTTGTACATAAGAGAATCGTATCAGCAATGAAGAAGGTAGAGTTTGTTAGTGATAGGATGTCATACATAATACTAAGAGGTCGCTGGTGTGATATCGTTCAGAATATTCATGCCCCAAGAGGAGATGAAATTGACGATATAAAGGACAGGTTCTATGAAGAACTAGAACATGTATTTGATAAATTCCCAAGGTACCATATGAAAATTTTGTTAGGAGATTTCAATACCAAAGTAGGTAGGGAAGATATTTTGAAACCATTCATTGGGAATGAGAGTTTCAAAAATTAGTAATGATAGTGGAGTTAGAGTAGTAAACTTTGCCACATCAAAAATCTTATTGTTGAAGTACCATGTACTTTGACCATGTAGTACCATGTACTACTACGTAGTAAAGATAAGCAGCGGCACGCACACAGGGAGCCTGCACAGAATAACACCTGTACAGTGCTGAAAACAAGAAGAAGCCGCTGCAGCACTATAGACGTGGGGCAAGTAACCCCGAGAATTTTCAATTATAAAATTTGGGAAAAAATTTTAAAGGAATTTTTTAAAATTGAAACTGAAGAATTTAAAATTGCCGGTTCATGAAGGTCAAAATTGACGTGGCAAAGATGATGTACGAATCAGACAAATATCAGCGAAGTAGATCCTGTTAGCAGCGACGAAGGGAACAGTTGGGAATACCTGTGTTTTTAAATTTTAAACTGGGTGCAGTGTAACAGCTACGTGAGTGTATACACCTGATGATGGCCGTTTGTGGCCGAAACATGTAGTGTAGAAGAAAGCAAGATGAAAGACCTACAATAAATTGTTGCACTTAGGATGGATAGAGTGCAACAGGGTGCTTAAATATAATATTAGATTAAAATGTATTTAAACAAAACGTATGAGAATGTCCATATAGGTGAACATTTGTCTGATAATTTTCCTATTCAGAATGGTGTAAAACAAGGAGATGCTTTATCACCACTGCTTTTCAACTTTGCTTTAGAATATGCCATTATGAAGGACCAAGAAAACTAGGTGGGACTGAAATTAAACGGGACACATCAGCTGTTGATCTGTGCTGATGATGTGAATCTACTGGGTGATAATATAGACACTGTAAAGAGAAACACACCAACTTTAGTTGACGCTAGTTAGGAGGTTGCTGTAGAAGTCAACACAGATAAGTAAGTACGAGTGCAGTATGCGCCAAAATATGCAGTACTGAAACTCGCACATCTTGAATGTGCATGTGCATTTGTAGCTCCAGCCACACATGTTCCCTGTAGTGAAATGGAAGTTGTGTTGTGCAGTTATTGGAAATGGGTCTCTCGTTGGAGGAAAAAGTATTCATAATTGAGTATTATTTCCACTCATATGGAAGTGGTCGTGGAGGGGTACCGAGTTTGAAATAGGTGACAGAACAATTCCAAGAGATTTAATAAGACCAGCCCTGTCCAACACGGCGCCCTCCATAACCACATATAATTTAGCCGATTTTTAATATTAATTCAAATTGTAAGATAAGAGACATTATTGAACGTCTGAGTACTGTTAAATATTTTCGAAAAATTATATTATTATTATTATTAGTAGTAGTAGTAGTAGTAGTAGTAGTAGTAGAAGTATGAGTAGTAGTAGTGTGTGGTGGCGCCCGCACCTCCATAGGCATCAGTGAATTGTGTCCGAGTACATAAGAACGTTGAACAGCACTGAATAAGACGGTACCAAGTAACACAGTTATGCTGTCGTTCTGGTAGTGTACTGTTTCAACAGAAGGGGAAGTCTTGTCAGCCAGTAACTGTTTCGACAAATGAGAATCACACGTGTTCTTCAGCAGGTGCTACATTCGCCTCAACAAAGTCTACAACGAACAGCCTTGAAACTGAATGTCAGCGATACGTCCATTTTCCAGTTGTTTAAGGACATAGGTGGAATTCCATACTGGATAAAGGTTGGACAACGGTTGACAGAGTCAGATATGCGAGCCAGGATGGTGTATTGTGGATCATTTTTGGCCATGGTGTACGAGGATCCAGATTTCTTGAGGAATGTATGGTTCTCCGATGAAAGTCACATTCACTTGGACAGCTACATCAGTCGCCAGACAACTTGCTTCCTTGGTTTTGAGCGGCCAGATGATATCGTCCAGAAACCGCTACATAGTACACGTGTGACGATATGGTGTGCTGTCTCAGCACATGGTATATTAGGCCCCTATTTCATTGAGGATGAGGAAGGCAGTGCTCTTACCGTCACCCAAGAATGCTACAGGGACATGGTGATCGGACCATTTCTTCAGGATTTGAGAAGGTTCTGTCATGCAAGGGGCGACCAGCCATACCGCTCGAGAATCTCAACACATGCTGCAGGAAAACTTTCCAGGACAAATCATTTCACATGGAACTGACTTCCCATTCCCCTGATCTTACACCACCTGATGCCTACTTGTGGGGAATGTTAAAGGAGAATGTATTCAACTGTGAAGATCCGCCAAGAACTGTGCCTGCATTACGAGAGCAAATTGTCTCCTTTTGCAGGAGTCTGCAGCATCCTTTGTTCAGGGATATGATTGAGAATCTGCATGAACGATATGAACATTGTCTACAGCGAGGTGGCACACACTTTGAAAACTTACATTACTCAAACCGTGGTAAATCAACATGCTAATAGTGTGTAAGTTAGTTTCTTTCAGGAGAAATAAACTCACAGATGACAACAAGGTATTACTGTTCTTCTTTTCGTTTCAGTGCTGTAATTTTTGGCGCATACTGTATATATTGTTGTCTCATCACCAAATGCATGGCAAAATCGTGACATAAAGATAGGTAACATGTTTCGAAAATGTGGCATAATTCAGATATTTGGAACGAATATAACAAATAAAAATCTGATTCAGGATGAATTAAGAGGAGATTGAACTTGTGTAATACTTGCTACCATTCAGTCCAGAACCTTTTGTCTTCTTGTCTGCTGTGTAAAGACATAAAAATTGGAATATACAAAACTGTAATTTTGCCTCTGGTTCTGTATGGGTGTGAAACTTGGTCTCTGACATTAAGGGAGGAACATAGGCCGAGGGTGTTTGAGAACAGGGTGTTGTGGAGAATACTCGTATTTGGACTGAAGAAAGATGAAGTGACAGGCGGTTGGAGAAAACTGCATAATGAGGAGCTTCATAACGTGTACTCTTCTCCAAGTATAATTAGAATGAAGAAGTCAAGGAGGATGAGGTGGGCAGGGCATGTAGCACGAATTGGGGAGAGGGTGAATGCATATAGGATATTGGTGGGAAAGCCAGAAGGAAGGAGACCACTGAGAAGACCAAGATGTAGGTGGGTGGACAATATTAGAATGGATCTCAGAGATATAGAGTGGGACGGGATGGTATGGATTAGATTGGTCTGGCTCAGGATAGGGACCAGTGGAGGGCTCTTGTGAACACAGTAATTAACCTTCAGATTCTAAAAAATAATGGGAAGTTCTTGAGTAGCTGCACAGTTGGCAGCTTCTCAAGAAGGGCTCAGCTCCATGAGTTAGTGAGTGAGTGAGTGAAGGACCTTTCATGTGCTTCTGTTAGTACTTTTA